GCTCACTCAGCTACAGTCGCCTCAAGCCCCACAGCATGATGACATTGAAAAAATAAAAAAAAATCGAAATAACCTACAAAATAACAAACGAAAATGCTTACTTTGGCTGGTTGCATTTCTGTTTTTTCGTTTTTAATTAAAAATATATATTGTTCATGAAAAACAAAAATTGAAAAAATTATGGGGAGTTACCCTCCGATGTCCCCCACCCTCCTATAAAAAAAAACACCCCCYCCCAGGGAAAAAAAAAAAAAAAAAACGATACCGCTCTCCGTAACTCCATGAACTCCCATGTCGGGAACTCCATGACCGGTTTCGTCCACAGACCCCGTGAACAGTGAATGGGGGTATGGCACTGACACTTTATCTATTTTTATCCAAACAACCGAGAAAGGTAACCAAGCGAGCATCAAATTTTTTGGTTGCAGAGAAAAACGCTAAGCAGAGCAAGCCCGTGAGAAATAATTTGAAAGTACAAAGCATATTACAAATCAAAATCACACTAAATGAGAACATAACTATTATGCTGGAGTTCCCTCGACACAGAAAAGCTGACAACTCGCCTCCAAATATCAGAACAACAACAACAGCAACAATATTATAATAGATATTCCACCTATACTCCTTCGTGTCTTACTCTGCCTACTTCCTTCCATCTCTCTCTCTCTCTCTCTCTCTCTCTCTCTCTCTCTCTCTCTCTCTCTCTCTCTCTCTCTCTCTCTCTCTCTAAGATTTATCCGTCACTTCAGGAGTGTGGGTTTGGTGAAAACCAAGGTGCTCACGATACTTGGCACACTGCACAGAATGGTCGCCAATACTTATGACCCATCTGATTTACCAGCGGTAATGAAATTATACGCGACAGAACTCGATATCATGGATTACCCTTGGAGAGTGTCACGAACGGCTTGGCTAGCTTTCATCAGAAACTGCAAACATAATGACATACGACAACACTTCTTGAAATTCCAGGACGAAGAAGACAGAAAKCGTTGGAGCGAAAGAAAGCAACAGACACAAATGATAACCAAGCTATAACATCTCACGTCTCAAGTCACGTTTTACGCAAAGCATGAAGTAACCAAGAGACCACAGTAAGAATCTTAGCTGTCTCTTATACACATCTAGATGTGTATAAGATACGAAGGTCCAAAGTACCTCCGAAATATCTGAATCTGACCGCGCGGCCAGACTAGAAAAATCATTAACCCAGGTACAGTTTTTGAAATGCCTGAAACTGACCGCGTATCGAGAATATAAGTACAGAAGTACCGTACAAATTYTACAACATACGAAACGAGAAATAAAGAGAAATGAAGAGAAACGAAACGAATGAAGTACCGGGAATCTCGCATGGAAAATGAACAAAATAAAAATGAAAATAAAAATGAAAATAAAAATGAAAACAAAAATGAAATATAACTCACCTGAAGAACCAAATCGAACGGAATTTCACGCACGTATGTTGCACAGACAAATTAACAAATAAACAAAGTAAGAACACATATATGGATTTGTTCAAACATCGGTTACGTGACCTCATTCAGAGGGATTTTGACGCGAAGGATGAGACATGACACGAAGTATGAGACATAACACAACAGACGACGCCGACATCAGGATCAAGATCAAGTGAAGGACGGGCAACGACAGTGACTTCGATGCTGATGATGTGAGGAATCTGCACGGGAATAGGCTAGAAGGATAGGAAGTACTTGGACCTCTGGGAGAAAGTATATATATGATGGATAGTGGCTGAGATGATTACCTGAGCAGTGAGGCAGAAGGGTAGTCGCGACATGTTTTGTCGCATGCCATGGATAGGGCGTCTATACTCTGAAAAGTAAAGCCTCGCACGTGTTGTCCAATATTGCAAGTGTTATCTCAAAGCATGGTGCTTCGAACGCGCGGGGGACACCCGTGAAGATCGATACTGAATCTGGTGGGTAGCAATTTTATCTCTATGTTGTCGTTGTACTTACTCAGTATAGCTGTTGGCTGGAATACGAACGATGCAGATGTTTACTGGGGATTTTTTTAGATTCTTTGGAGCTTTTTCATTATATTGTTGGAGATTCAATCATTTTTACTTTATTGACGTTTGCTCATATTGATTGTTTGTTTTTATCGATGGTATCCTATGGGGTATCTTACTCGTTCGTCAAGCGTTTACCTTATTACGCGACGGTGTTCTTGGTGATAATCAAATTCGATTATTTCGTTTGTATGTTGTGTATCTATACTGACTTTTACATCCTACTTGGATTGTGGATTGAAATCTCGGAGGCCCAAGTACTTCGGGGATGATGGCGCGCTCGCGCTCATCGTCGGCAAGGCAGAAACGCAGACACTCCTCCACATCATCATCATCGAAGTCACACGAGGTGAAGAAGACCAGGCGAGGGAGATCAAGGACTCCACGGGATCGACGCCACAAGTCAAGGTCACCATCCATACGGAAGAGGAGACATGCTGAATCCGAGTCCCCGAGGCGATTTGGGAGACTGCAGTGGGAGCAGAGGAGGAATGACTTCCCTCCTCCAGAGAAGAGAACCTGGTTCACTGCAGATTTGAAGGAAGAGATTTTCACACTTCGAAGGGAGTTAGAGAAAGTGAAGAAGACAGTTGAACTGTTGCATACTAAGGTAGCCGAATGCATGAAGATAGTGCAATCAGGCAAAGGGGAGACAAGTGGTGGGAGACACGAGAAGAGTCAGGTGGATGGACAGAGCAAGGAGGTAGAGAAGGAGAAGCATCAAGTTTCTCCGTCAGAACTCAAAGCAATGATAGACAAAGCTCTCAAATCAGCTCTTCCACAAAGTACAGTTGGGGAATCGAGCAAAGCACCACAAGTTGGTACGGCTACTGAACGACCAGCAACGGAAGAAGGAAACATGGAGAAGTTAGTATCAGAGATGCGCAGAGACGTCAACGAGATTAAACTGATGAAGTATGATCTCGCAGCGGTGAAGGGAACATTGAAGAAAATCAACGAACCTACACGTACCTGCATGTTTCATCGACTGTTAATCCGAACATGTATCACGGATTGATGATGATTGGAGCACCTACCTCAGTTCACGTGAGCAGAGGAGCCCCTACACGAAGCGCACCAAGTCGCAGCATCCTCAGCAAACCAGCGTTGTTGCATCCCACGAAGGAACGCGGAAGATGAAGAGGAAGGCGAGGATTAGCAGAGCGAAGAGAAACATCAAATTCGGATTCGAACCGATTATGGACTCTCAATTACTGCGACTCCACTACATAGATCTGCAAGATTTATGCAAGATTCACGACATCAAGTACAAGGACAAACCTCAAGCTATCTCTGCATTGAGGCAAGTACCAGGACTAGTTCAGTATGAAGGAAGAGACTTCAATCGTGACTCTGACCTAGAGCACTCACCAGTGGAAGTCAGGTCAGACACCAGTTATGAATCATATGAATCGGACTCCAGTGATGACTCATCATCAACTTCTTCCAGCTTGCAGAACCTCTCGGGAAGGTAGAGGATCCTCAGCCGTTCGACGTACTCACCAAGGAACAAAAGTGGGCACACATACATCGTATAGCATCGACGATTGAGAGACTGGTAAATGTAGGAGGGATGAAGCAGTGCGCAAAGTATATTAATTTGTTCAGGTTACTGTTCGTATCTCTAACACTAGAAGGATGTATACCCTGGCAAATGCATTGGTTGAATTTTGGACTGCACAACACTGTAGCTTTACTTCATTACTGGATGCAGACTATAGTGTCTATGTGCTGATATCACCTTAGTGTAGACATTTTTACGTAGGAAGAACAAGGAGGAAGCCGGACAGAAGATGGAGCGAACACGTAAACTTAGCCAGGAACGCTAAGGCGGGTGTACAACGCAAACTATACGGGTGGCTTCAAAATTTTGGATGGGAGAAGTATGTGTTGATACCGATATAAACCGGAGTGAAGTCAGAAGTAAGCATGATGGAAGGGGAAATCATTAAACGATTAAATCCATACCTGAACACCAGAGGCAAAGGAAGACGGTCTCATAAGCTTAAAGGCAAAAAGAGAAGAGGTAAGAAAAGACGAATGAAATCCAAAATCAGAAACAGTTACCAACATATTCCTGTATTGTTTAAGAACACTAGATCCGATTACACATCAAAACTAACGCAGATTTACAACCTAAAGCAATGATTGAAAGTACAACGGGTAGAATGAGGCATGAAAAGTGGAAAGTCATTAAACGCACCTATGGATCGACTATTATTGAGATTGAAAACACACAGTTCATGCTGAAGGAGTGCAGATTAAAAATTGAACAAGGCTGTAAATTTTGCGTCATCAAACTTGTGTACACAGGACCTAAGACAAATAGATACAGGAATACATTGATTAATTGTCTACGAGCACCATGGAAGAGGAAAGAATTATATAAATTATTATTGGATAAGATTCTGATTCTTTGATTAAAAGTGGGATCGATCACAGGAAAGAAATGTAGAGGAACACTGAAAGAGATATTCACAAGGATATCAAAAAAGAAATTTGGTTATCCAATCAAACGAAGATTGATTTTTCAAATTTCGTATGCAGGCTATAAAGCACCACAGATTAATCTAAGTAAAGTTCGACAAGCAGCAACGGACACGATAATGACTTCAGTAAGCAATGCAAACCTCGCAAACGATATGATCAACAGAATGCGAGTGATGTTCAAAAAATCGAAAACAGTTGGGGAAATCCTACACAATCACATACAAGTAATTGAAATTGCACCTGACTGTAGTTGTGGGATCTCACATTTTTCAAAGATTGATTCACATGTGGCATGCAGACTGAGTGACATTGTTGATAATCGACTGCTTTGGAACGCGAAAAATGTACCACACATGAATGAAAGAGTAGGTAAACAGAAGATCTATAAAGTAATTACGCGAACCATTGGAAGGATCCCACCAAACCTGCGACAAACCAAAATGGTACATATTGATCTATCTGAGTGCTGTAAAGAAGTAATAGATAACCAAAATCATTTGGAAATATCTGAAGTATGAAAAATCATAAATGAGTTCCGCACATTCATCAGATCACCACTGGACAGAAACATAGGGGAAACCTTTGTTGAATATCCTAAAGCATGGTTTGAAAAAACGACTTCATTTTTCTTCGAAGCTACACATTACGAAGTCATTCACAATGCAGAAGTGGAAATTATCCAGGAAGCAAAAGCGACATACAAATCAATGGGACTGGAAAGAATTGCGAAATGGGATGACAAAGGGAACTACGGAAGCGCGTACACTATTTCTAAGAACAAGGACGTCACCAGAAGGCGACCAATTGTACCCACGTATAATGAACCATCAAGACCCGCTTCAAAAATTCTGGCCAAGGCAATTAATTTTCTATGTAAAACATGGAAAGTGGGATTTGCGCTGGAAGGGACAAACCAATTAGTTCCGAGATTGAAAGAGTGCAACAAAATGACAGAAAAACAATATGGTGGGGATGCCACACTCATATGTACCACACATGACGTTAAGGATATGTTTTCGAATCTGGATCACACACATATCATTAAAGCCATGCAGTGGATGCTTAACACAGCGAGAGATAAGAGAAAAACTCATCTGTGTTACAAAACACGAGCGAAATACATAAATTTCGGTAAAGCAAACGACACATACGAATGAAAAACAGTGAAAATCGATATACTGCATGATCTACTATATTACGACATCAAACATGCATACTTTAGAGTCCGGGGCAAACTAATGAGGCAAATATAGGGTATTCCCATGGGGAAGGGATCCAGCCCACCAATCGCCAACATGGTTTGTGCTTATGATGAATACAAATGGCAGTCTGAAATTGGAATGGACAAGAAACTGGTGTATGGAATGAGATTTGTGGATGATGTGATGATTGTAATCATGGTAGATAAAAATCATACCGAAAAACCAATCGAATGTATGAATTCCTTTGCTACATGCTACCATAAATCGCTCAAATTGTAAAAAACATCAGATTTAGATTGCACAAAATGGAACTATTTGGAGACAAGAATTTTGCAAGGAGATAAACAACCCCTCCTGAAGTGTACACATAGATTAAAGAATCAAGAGATGCTCCAGAAGGGGTTTTTGAACTCTCTCTCTCTAAGATCTATCCGTCACTTTAGGAGTGTGGGTTCGGTGAAAACCAAGGTGCTCACGATACTTGGCACACTGCACAGAATGGTCGCCAATACTTGTGACCCATCTGATTTACCAGCGGTAATGAAATTATACGTGACAGAACTCGATATCATGGATTACCCTTGGAGAGTGTCACGAACGGCTTGGCTAGCTTTCATCAGAAACGGCAAACATAATGACATACGACAACACTTCTTGAAATTCCAGGACGAAGAAGACAGAAAKCGTTGGAGCGAAAGAAAGCAACAGACACAAATGATAACCAAGCTATAACATCTCACGTCTCAAGTCACGTTTTACGCAAAGCATGAAGTAACCAAGAGACCACAGTAAGAATRTAAGTACGAAGGTCCAAAGTAMCTCCGAAATATCTGAATCTGACCGCRMGGCCAGACTAGAAAAATCATTAACCCAGGTACAGTTTTTGAAATGCCTGAAACTGACCGCGTATCGAGAATATAAGTACAGAAGTACCGTACAAATTTTACAACATACGAAACGAGAAATGAAGAGAAATGAAGAGAAATGAAACGAATGAAGTACCGGGAATCTCGCACGGAAAATGAACAAAATAAAAATGAAAATGAAAATGAAAATAAAAATGAAAACGAAAATGAAATCTAACTCACCTGAAGAACTAAATCGAACGGAATTTCACGCACGTATGTTGCACAGACAAATGAACAAATAAACAAAGTAAGAATACATACATGGATTTGTTCAAACATCAGTTAGGTGATCTCATTCAGAGGGATTTTGACGCGAAGGATGAGACATGACACGAAGTATGAGACATAACACGACAGACGACGCCGACATTAGGATCAAGATCAAGTGAAGGACGGGCGACGACAGTGACTTCGACGCTGATGGTCAAAGCACTGGGCCCAGCCAGCTGCTGTGCTATTTTTGGCGCACTCCCAAGTCCAAGGCATTCAGAGAGAGTATGATCTAGCCTAACGGAGAGAGAGCCCAGTGGCAGAGGGAGAGAGAGAGCCAGAGTGTTGGCGCCCATAGCCGCCCTGTACTTGCAGTTTGGAACTATTCCAACAATTACCAAAATTGTAATAATAATTTCGAGTTTCATCACATTTTTCTCTTGGTGCTTTGGTTTGCGAGTTGTGGAGTGGACTCGGCGTGCATGTGTGGATGGGAATTGAGTATCAAGCTAAGTGGGATCATTGCATGTCCATATGAAGCGCGTAACAAAATGTGAGGAGGGGGGGGGGGATGCCATGAACCAGGGTTGTGCCGGCAACCGGCTACCGGCCGGTTGGACCCCAGGTGGTCCAACCGGAATTCCGGTTGGGCCCAGAACCGGGGTATTAGTATTTTTTTGAAAACGGAGTTGGACTGCGCTCGGCGAGATCTCCCCGAATCCGCAAAGAAAACTTTAAACGGAGAAGTTTCATTCCAGGGGGGGGGGGATATTTCAGGGGTTAGGGGTTAGAAGTGTAGGGGGTTATGGTGGGGGTGTGAGCGGCGTGGTTGCAGCTCCCTCTACTCTCATCTCTCTCTCCTTTCTCACTCATCTCTCAGACCCTCCTCTCTCGACTTTCTCTCTCCCCTTTTCTCTCGTTTCTCTCTTGTTTCTGTCCTGGCGATGGCGCAACAACGGGGTCCAGGCAACGACGTGCGGGAATGGGCTGCAAACAGCGAAGGTGCGACGACGAGGGGTCGTGTGAACTGGCGGCTGTGACATGCTAATTTCTGTGCTTAAACGAACTTCTGAAGCCCTGTGTTCCGCTACTCTTTTATTTTCGTCCATTAGAGGGCTTTGGGGTACCTTCTTTTTGGTTGGGCCAGGCGGGTAATGCATGGGATCAATGGCCGCCGATGCCTCCTTACTTCGAAGTGTTTTTCGTTTTCTCTGGATTTTTGAAATTTTGTTTTCCTTCAACTTTACGTAGGAATTACGCAGACCTTAGTGAAC